AATCAGGTATGCCTGATTTTGAATCCTGGCTCTTCCATACAGGCAGGGGCAACTTGAGCAAGGGATTTTTGGAGCTGAGTCTCAGTTTCCTCATCTATAAAATGAGGATTAGAATGCACCCAGCAATGGGGATGGTTATGATGCAGAGCAGGTGAGCCCCAAAGTGGAGCTTAGCCCATGAGGGTTCTTGGCTTTGCCCAGGGAAGAATTCAAGGGCAAGCATGAGGTTGAAGGAAACAGCTTTGTTGAAGGGTGATGTTACAGCTCCATGACGGCTCCTGCAGAGCAGGGCTACCTCATAAGCAGAGAGTAGCAGCTCAGGGCAGTTTGGCAGTCACATTTATACCCACTTTTAATTGCCTGCAGATTAAGGGGCAGTTTATGCAGAAATTTCTAGGGAAGGGGTAGTAACTTTTAAATCATTGGGTCAGTGCCACGGAAAGGGGCAATAACTCCTGGGTGTTGCCATGGCAAAGGTAAATTGACATGCCACACTGCTGGGTGTGTTTGAATGAAAACTGCTTTTGCCCAGGCCCTGTTTTCGCTAGTCCTCAATCTGATCCGGTGTCAAAGCCCCACCTCTGGAGTCCAGTCCCACCTCCTGCCTCACTTGTGTGGGTGAAATCATTCTCTTACACAGAACACCTGGCTGTGGGGTGAGCAAGGCAGCCTTAGGGTTCATTCCCTGGGTCACACTGCCCCTCAGGCCTCTGTTTCCTCCAATATAAGATGAAAGTACTGAACAGAGGTTCCCTGAAGGCCCTTCCAGTTCTGACTCCTGCGATTCAGTGGCTTTTGTCTGTTATTGTTTATAACCCACACCACACAATGATCTCAGTCCCTATTTCAGTCCTTTGCTACTGAGGCTCAGCATTAGCCCCAAAACACAACTGTAATTCTTCCTCTGTAAACAGAGGCCCTCCAAAACCCATGGAGTTCATTTGTTAAAAACCAACATTTACTGACCCCCTACAGGGATTACCCTCTGCTCACAACACCTCCACAGCTCCAGAGGTAGGTGTTACCATTCCCACCCATTACACCTTGGTCCTACTCCCTTAGCCATGGGCTGGCCTTCCCGGGAATGTTTTCCTACCAAGCTAACCCACAAGGGAAGAACCTGTCTGCTTCTCTGCAGTTAGAAGCTGAGAAAGGAGTGAAATATTGCACAGGACGTGTGGGAGGAGAAGGAGATAGCAAGTTGGCACCCACCCAAGCTCCTGGCTAAGGAAAGTGGAGGCAGATACCCGGCAGTTTAATGCAAAGAAGGGATGATCTGTCTGATCCCCTGTCTCAGAATCCACCTGTGCTTCAGGAAGACACGTGGAGTCGGAAAAACCTTACAGGTGCTGTGGAATTCCTTTTAAATTTACTTTTGTTGGCCAGGCGTGGTGGCTCACACCTATAATCCCAGCACTTTGGGAGGCTGAGGCAGGTGGATCACGAGGTCAAGAGATCGAGACCATCCTGGTCAACAAGGTGAAACCCCGTCTCTACTAAAAACACAAAAATTAGCTGGGCATGTGCGCACCTGTAGTCCCAGCTACTTGGGAGGCTGAGGCAGGAGAATTGTTTGAACCCAGGAGGTGAAACTCTGTCGCAAAAAAAAAAAATTACTTTTGTTTTAAAATTACAGATGTATACATTCCAGCAAGTTTGGAGAAAAGAGAAAAAAATAGTACTTCTAAACCCCACCATCCCAAGAGGACATGAAGCATAGTACAGCCAGGCACAGGCATTGTCCTGCCACTTCCTAGTTGGGAGATCTTCAGCAAGTGCAGTGTTCCCCCTGAGACTCATTTGCCTCATCTGCAAAATGGGTATAATGATATTAGCACGTACTTCAAAGGGGCTCTAAAAGAGGATATTTTTCTTTCATTTCTTTCTTCCCCTTTTTTTTTTTTTGAGAGAGGGTCTCATTCCTATCACCCAGGCTGGGGTGCAGTGGCACCATCACAGCTCACTGCAGCCTCAACCTCCCAGGCTCAGGTAATTCTCCCACCTGAGTCTCCCAAGTAGCTGGGACTACAGGTGCCCGCTACCACATCCAGCTAATTTTTGGTATTTTTAGTAGAGCCACAGTTTTGCTATGTTGCCCAGGCTGGTCTCAAACTCCTGGACTCAAGCAATCCACCCTCCTTGGCCTCCCAAAGTACTGGGACTACAGATGTGAGCCACCGCGTCTGGCCTCAAGGGTCCTTTTACACATAAGCAAGTCAGAATACATTACGCCTGTGCTTAGAACTCTCCAATGACATCCCATTTCACCCTGACCAAAAGCCTGAGTCCTTCCTATCTACAGCCACAGGGAAAGAAAAATGTCTGAGTTCTCAAGAGAGCCTTTGAGGCTACCCATGGGCTGGGACCTACCCACCCTCCAACCTCATCCCCCACTCCTGCCAACCCTGCTCCAGCCACGCAGGCTTCCTTGCTGTTCCTCATGCACATCACTTGTGCGTCCACCTCAGGCCCCGTGCACTGTCCTCTCTTCCTGTAATGTTCTGGATACCCACGTGGCTCCCCGACTCGCTGCCTGCGGGCTCCACTTGAATGTCACCTGATTTGACAGCTCTTCTCTGGCCGCCTTATAAGTATCCCCTCCCCACACCTTGCGCTTCCTGTTCTACTTTATTTTCTCCATTACACTTATCATCTCCTCCAGTGCTATGTATTTTATTTGTTCATGTGGTTTTTTTCCCCCCAGATAAAGGAATTCTTCATTAGGACCAGGACTTTGTTTTCTTCTCTAATATATCCCTGGCTCCTAGAATAATGGATGGTACAGGGAAGGCCCTCATTTGTTGAATGAGTTCACTAATCTTTCCTGCCACCTCCTACCTCTAATAATTAGTTGGCTCTAAAATTCCCAGACCTCTTTGCAAAGTCAGTGTCCCTCCCTGGCCAGCTGTCACCTCCACTGAAAATCTTCAGCCTCAAATAGTACCCGCCAAGGCCCACTAACTCTCCCCACCCTGTCTCCCTGCCCTAGCTCCTGCCTTACTATCTTTAGAAGCACCTCCAAGCTTGCTGCGAGCAGCTTCCAGCAGCCTCACAGTTCATAGTACAAAACAAAGGCAGAGCAGACATTCCTAGTGCTGTACCTGGTTCAGCCCCGGCACCTCCGAAGTAGGCCAGGAAAATCAGCCAAGTGAGCAGCCTCATCCTCGGGGCTCACTTCACCAGAGCCGTGGGACTCTCCAGGAGCTGTCTGTTGTTCACACTGCAAGCTTCCCAAGTAGTTGTCTATGGCCATGTGCCTGAGCAGAACACCCTGTCCTGTTACCAGGATTCCAGGCCCTCTAAGGCGTCTGGCTCCTCTGGCTTTTCCTCCTTTGCCCAGCAGGTTGTGATCTGGGCTGGCCCAAGGAGGCAGGCATCTGAACCCTTAAGTGGAAGCCACACCTGTCCTGCCAGTGCAGCCCCTGCCCCCAAGAGGGAGGGGCACACCACAGGATTACGTCAGCAAGTCAGGTGAATCGGCCAGCCCTGGAAAGGGGTATCTCACTCAGACTGAGGAACGTGAGAGGAATTCTGGGAGGAAGTGACACAGGTTTAATCCTTTCTTAACATTGTTTGGTTTTTTTTCCTTCAGGCTGAAAATCAAAACATTGTATAATGAACACTGTCAAACTGAAACAGGAGAGAGAATGGTGTAATGAACCCCCAAGTACCTTCCTCCAGCTACAGCAATTATGAATTTATGCCCAATCTTACTTCGTCTATACTCCCATTTAATTATCTTATTTAAACAACTTAAAAATTTTTTTATTATTTTAACATTTATTTATGTTTTTTGCTTGTTTGTTTTGAGACAGAGTCTCACTCTGTTGGCAGGCTGGAGTACAGTAGCGTGAGCTCGGCTCATTGCAGCCACCGCCTCCCAGGTTCAAGCGATTCTCCTGCCTCAGCCTCCCAAGTAACTGGGACTACAGGCGCATGCCACGACGCCCAGCTAATTTTTGTATTTTTAGTAGAGATGGGGTTTCGCCATGTTGGCCAGGATGGTCTTGATCTCTTTAACTCGTGGTCTGCCCTCCTCGGCCTCCCAAAGTGCTGGGATTATAGGTGTGAGCCACCGCACCAGGCCTATTTATGTATTTTTTTAGAGAAGGGGTCTCAGGCTGGGTGCAGTGGCTCATGCCTGTTATCCCAGCACTTTGATAGGATAAGGCAGGAGGATCACTTGAGCCCAGGAGTTCGAGACCAGCCTAAACAACATAGGGAAACCCCATCTCTACAAAAAATATAAAATTAGCTGAGTGTGGTAATACGTGTCTATAGTCCAGCTACTTGGGAGGCTGAGGCAGGAGGATCCCTTGAGCCCAGGAGGTGGAAGTTGCAGTGAGCCAAGATTGGACCACTGCACTCCAGCCTGAGTGACAGAGCAAGACTCTGTCTCAAAAAAAAAAAAAAAAAAAAGCCGGTGGGGGTTGGGGGACATGTCTCACTCTGCCACCTAGGCTAGAATGCAGTGGCAAGATCATAGCTCACTATAGCCTCAACCTCCTGGGCTCAAGCTATCTTCCTGCCTCAGCCTCTGGAGTAGCTGGAACTATAGGTACTCACTACCTCACCTGGCTAATTTTTTTTTGCATCTCACTGTGTTACCCAGGAAGGTCCCAAACTCATGGCCTCAAGTGATCCTCCCACCTCAGCCTCCCAAAGCACTGGGCTTACAGGTGTGGACTACAATACCTGGCTCCCACTGTATTATGTTAAAGTAAATTCCAGTGACCATATCATTTTGAACATAAATAGCACATATCTCTAAAAGATAAGGACTCTCTTTTTCTAACACATCATCAGATCTAAAAAAAAAGAGTAATTCCTTACTTCCACCAGATATGTGGTCAATGTTCAAATTTCGCTGATGTCTCTCTCTTTTTTTTTTAATGGGTTCTTTGAAATCAGGGTCTAAACAAAGTCCACACGTTGCATTTGGTAGATGTGTCTCTTCAGTTTTCCTTAATTTGTAGCTCTCCTGCCCTCTCTCTATTTACCTTGTTCTTTGTCCTATGAATTTCCCACATTCTGAAGAATTTGGCTGATTCCTTCCTGGTGGTGCCATTTAACATATTCCTCTGTCCGCCATATTTCCTGTGAACTGGTAGTTACAGCCAAGGGTTTGATGACATTCAGGTTTGGCTTTTTGGGAAGAAGACTTCTCAGGTGGTCTTGGGTCTTTCCTGTTGCCTTGCATGGCAAAGCACATAAGATATGGTTTTCACCAGCTTAACCTTAATTTACAAGTAGGAGTTAGCAGGAAAAGGGGCAAGTTGGGGAGGAGGGTATCCCAGGCAGAAGTGGCTGAAACATCCCAGAGAGCTGAGTTGGGTGACATTGGGCTTGGGTGCTAAGGCTGGGGAAGCATGCAGGAGCCAGGCTATGCTCAGCTGTTTGAGCTGAGAGCTGTGGGGAGCTATGGCAGAGATATAACCTAATTTCCATTTTAGAAAGATTGCACCGCATCTGTGGAAGATGGACTTTCAGGGAGACCAGCAAGGAGGCTGAGGCAGGGAAGTTGTCATAGTCCATTTTATGCTACTACAGAATACCTGAGACTGAGTATTTCAAAGAGAACAGAAATATATATTAGCTCACAGTTCTGCAGGCTGGAAAGTATAAGATCAAGGTGCCAGCAGGCTGGGTGTCTGGTGAGGCCATTCACTTTTTCCAAGATGGTGCCTTGCAATCTGCATCCTCTGGAGGGAGAAAGGCTGAGTCCTCATATGACATGTCTTGGCAAAAGGGCTAAGATAAAAGAAGGCCAAACTCGCCCTTTTATCATAGCATTAATCCCACTCACGAGAGTGGAGCCCTGATGGTCCAATCACCTCCCAAAGGTTCAACCTCCCAACACCTCCATAATGGTAACCAATTATAACATGAGTTTTAGAGTGAACCAACATTCAAACCATAGCAGAAGTCGATGAAAAGCTGTAAGGGGCAATGCTTAGGAACTTGTAACTAGTAATAGGGAGGAACTGAAGAGACTGTAGATGGTTAATTGGTTGAGTAGTTCCTGTTCTAACTGTATTTTTAAACCCCATTCTAAGTAGGTACCAAAGCTCTCTTCCCTTGGAGGAGGATGTGGCAGGGTAGAAAGCCACAGCTTCTTGGACACAGCCACCTCCAGGGTGTGTCCTCTGATTCCTTGAGGGGGTCGTGAAAGGAGGGAGGGAACAGTGGTAAGAGAGGGGAGACTGGCATAGCCAGGGTAGCAGAGGGATGTTGCTGGGTCTTAAGAGTCCAGCTTGCCTCTGGAAGGTAGCAGATCCTTAGACAGGAAGTCCTTGGATATTTACTTGTGTTCAAGAAATATTTCATGTCTTGAAAATGGTGAACAGGCCGGGCGCGGTGACTCACACCTGTAATCCCAGCACTTTCGGAGGCTGAGGTGGGCAAATCACCTGAGGTCAGGAGTTCTAGACCAGCCCAGCCAACAAGGCGAAAACACATCTCTACTTAAATTACAAAAATTAGCTGGGCATGTGGGAGTGCACCTGTAATCCCAGCTACTTGGGAGGCTGAGGCAGGAGAATCACTTGAACCCGGGAGGCAGAGGTTGCAGTGAGCCAAGACCACGCCATTACACTCCAGCCAGGGTGACAAGAGCAAGACTCTATCTAAAAAAAAAAAAAAAAAAAGTGGTGAACAGTGCAAAGCCTCTGCCCTCACAGGGCTTACATTCAGTAGAAAAGATGGGCATTACACAAATAAATCAGCAAGGCTCCTGGCCTAGCTAAGTCCCTGCCCTAGGAACTGTGCAGTCTTAGCCAACGTGTGTATATTAGGCCCACAAACCACTAAAGACTAAAGCCCCATTTCTGTTTAGGGCCTAGGTCACTGCAAGGAAATGAGGGGCATCAAAATAACCACTAAGACTGAATCTTCTGCCAGTCCAGAGGAAAGAAAGCTCAGAGACCAACTGCTATTGATTGAACGAAAATAAAAGCTGTGTGACTTTTCTTGCCCCTAGGCTGTGGCCTGATTTATAATCTAGGACATGTTGAGGTATGCATGGAAGGTAACCTATGGGACTGATGGGGAAGGAGGGCAGGCAAGGAGTCCAGGGCAGCCTGCTCCCCCAGGGCTAAGGGAGTTGGCAATGACTACACTTGAAATTGGAACAAGAGAGAGAATTCTGGATGGGCACAGGAGCTCCCCTTAAACCCATCTGAGGAGTGCTAGAGTCTTCTTACTCAGCTTTTGACTATATGCAGGGCTTCTTTGTTGCTTTTTTTTTTTTTTTTTTTTTAGACAGGGTCTCACTCTGTCACCTAGGCTAGAATGCAGTGGCGCTATCGTGGCTCATTGCAGCCCTGAACTCCCAGACTTAAGCAATCATCCCACCTCAGCTTCTCAGGTATCTGGGACTACAAGCGCACACCACCATAACTGGCCAATTTTTGTATTTTTACTAGAAAGGGGGTTTGGCTGTGTTGTCCAGGTGGGTCTCAAATTCTTTGGCTCAAGGGATCCACCCACCTCACCCTCCCAAAGTGCTGGGATTACACGTGTCAGTCACCAAACCAGGCCTACAGGGGCTTCTTTTAAACACCTCAGCTTTGGCTGGGCACAGTGGCTCATGGTTGTAATCCCAGCACTTTGGGAAGCCAAGGCAGGTGGATCACCTGAGGTCAGGAGTTCGGGACCAGCCTGACCAATATAGTAAAACCCCATCTCTACACACACACAAAAAAAAAAAACTCAGCTATTTGGTCAGTGTCCTGTAAAGATCCCGTCATCACCACCATCAGTAACTGAGATGACATCTTTATGTATAGAGAAAAGGCCACTCTTCTAGGCCTTTGTGTGAATCAGAAAAAGATGCCCTCGGCCGAGCACAGTGACTTAAGCCTGTAATCCCAGCACTTTGGGAGGCCAAGGCAGGAGGACAGCCTGAGCCCAGGAATTCAAAACCAGCCTAAACAACATGAGGAGACTCCATCTCTTAAAAATAAAAATATTAGCTGGTTGGGGGCACGTACATGTAGTTCCAGCTATTTGGGAGGCTGAGATGGGAGGATCACTTCAGCCTAGGAGGCTGAGGCTGCAACGAGCCAAGATCACCATTGCACTCCAGGCTTGGCAACAGAGTGAGAGATCCTGTCTCAAAAAAAGAAAAAAAAAGGCGTGTTGTGTGAAGCTGACAAGAAGTAAGGATTCTTCATGTTTTGTTGTATACCTTTTTGTCCTGTAACCTCAGTAGTACGTGTTAGTAGAAAAACTAAACTCGGTAAAATATTTTAAAGAGGTTTCTTATCTGAGTTAATATGAGTGACCACACTGGTGAAAACACAAACCCAAGAAGCCTTCAGTAAGTGGTCCCAGGAGGTTGAATTAGTTTGGTTTTATACATATTAGGGAGGCAAGAGTTACAGGCAAAGACATAAATCAATACATGGAAGGTATACATAGATTTGGCCTGAAGAGGCAGGATATCTTGAAGCAGGGGCCTAGATGGTTTTTATTTATTTATTTATTTTTGTAGACACGGTCTCACTCTGCTGCCCAGGCTACAGTGCAGTGGCCCTACTGCAACTTCTACCTCCTAGGCTCTAGCAATATCCCCATCTCAACCTCTCAAGTAGCTGGGACTACAGGTACAAACCACCACATCCAGCTAATGTTGTTCAGACTGGTCTCAAACTCCTGGGCTCAAGAGATCTGCCCAACTCACCCTCCCAAAGTGCTAGGATTACAGGCATAAGCCACCACAACCCACCCAGAGATTCTTTTCATTTTATTTTATTTTTTTGAGATAGAGTTTCACTCTTGTTGCCCAGGTTGGAATGCAGTAGCACAATCTCAGCTCACTGCAAACTCCCCCTCCTGGGCTCAAGTGATTCTCTGCCTCAGCCTTCCAAGTAGCTGGGATTACAGGCACCTGCCACCATGCCTTGCTCATTTTTGTTTTGGGGTTTCTTTTTTTTGAGACGGAGTCTCTCTCTGTCACCCAGGCTGGAGTACAGTGGTGGGATCTTGGCTCACTGCAACCTCCGCCTCCCGGGCTCAGGTGATTCTCCTGCCTCAACTTCCCAAGTAGGTGGGATTACAGGCACACACCACCATGGCTGGCTAATTTTTTTATATTTTTAGTAGAGATGAGATTTCACCATGTTGCCCAGGCTGGTCTTGAACTCCTGACCTCAAGTGATCTGCCCACCTTGGCCTCCCAAAATGCTGGGATTACAGGTGTGAGCCACTGCACCCGGCCTAATTTTTGTATTTTTGGTAGAGATGGGGTTTCACCACATTGGCCATACTGGTCCTGAACGCCTGACTGGAGGTGATCCACCCACTTCAGCCTCTCAAAGTGCTGGGATTACAGGTGTGAGCCACCATGCCCCACCAGAAAGGAATGTTTTAAATGATGATAAGATGCCATGTAGCAGGTTGATGACCTGCTGGCATGACTTAACCTTTGAGTGGCATGGCCTTAGGTCTAGTTTATAATTTGGTATCTTATTGCCACAGAGTCTGTTTTGTCAGCCTTACCATCTCTATTTTAATATTTATGCTGGTCAGTTGTGCCTGACTCCAAAAGGGAGTGGGTATAACGAAGTATGTCATCATGGCCAGGAATTCAGTTTTTAAGGTTTTTGTGGAGTCCCCGTCCATTCAGTCGGGGTGAGACTTAGTATTTTATTTTTAGCTTGCATCATATAAAATAAACACCTGGTAGGAAAGCCCTTGCAGGAAGGGAAAGCCCTCAGGTGCTATAACCTTTGCCCATTCCTGGCCTCAGAGCCTCTGGGAAGCCATGCTGCAGCTGTGATTGACCTGGGGTTCAAGTCCACAGAGAGCCAGGACAGAATCTATGACTGCTGACCTATAGCCCAGGCAAAGACACTTTGCTCTTTTGCACTCATTCACTCATGCATTTAACATCCACTCAACATCCATTTATTAAGCAGCCTCTATGTGCCAAGAACTGTGGCAAGTGCTGGTGACAGAGTCATGCAGACAAATGTAAAATTATAACTGTAATGGATGGTGCTCAGTTTGGATACTATTCTAAGAATCTTGAGCTTTTCCTTTTATTTTATTTTATTTTTTTGAGATGGAATTTTGCTCTGTTGCTCAGGCTGGAGTGCAGTGACTCAGTTTCAGCTCACTAACATCCTCCTCCTGGGTTCAAGGGATTCTCCTGCCTCAGGCTCCCTAGTAGCTGGGATTACAAGTGCCTGCCACCATGCCTGGCTACTTTTTTGTATTTTTAGTAGAGATGGAGTTTCACCATATTGGCCAGGCTGATCTCAAACTCCTGACCTCATGATCCGCCTGCCTTGGCCTCCCAAAGTGCTGGGATTACAAGCGTGAGCCATTGTGCCCGGCTGAATCTTGAATTTTTTATTACAGTTCACAGGAGCCACTGAAGGTTTTGGAGGAGGAAAGTGAACAGATCAGGCCAGGTACAGTGGCTCATTCCTGTAATACCAGCACTTTGGGAGCCTGAGGCGGATGGATCACCTAAAGTCAAGGAGTTTGAGACCAGTCTGGCCAACATGGTGAAACCCTGACTCTACTGAAATTACCAAAAAAAAAGAGCCAGGTGTGGTAGTGTGCACCTGTAATCTCAGCTACTAGGAGGCTGGGGCGGGAGAACTGCTTGAACCTGGGAGGCAGAGGTTACAGTGAGCTAAGATCATGCCACTGCACTCTAGCCTGGGTGACATGAGACTCCACCTCAAAAAAAAAAAAGTGAAAAGATCATGGAATAATTACTAAAATTTTCCCCTTTGCAGCAGCAGTGACTGCTCAAAATAATAAGCAGTGATGAAACCTCAAATGATACCATCTATTCTTGTCTTCTCTAAGCTGGGCTCTTTGTGATGGTTGATTTTCTCCTTAAAAATCTCAGGAATTCTGAAGTTGGCCATAGTTGACAAACTTGGCCTGGCCAAACATTAATTGAAGAAGCCTGCTTCTGTTCCTAGGTTCCACTCTATTTTCCCTCATCCATTTCTGAATTTCACCCAGATTCAAAACTAGAGTCACTTGAGGGTTGGCACAGCTCCTGGCACTAAATATATATTTATTAAATAAATGTATGGTGGAGTGAATAAGGCTGGATGAATAAAAAAATTAATGACTTGAAGGCATCCAAAGCTTTGCCCCTTCCTATGACTTCTGCTTGCTCTGCCCCTTTCTTTCCCACTGCCTCTGCCTGATGCAGGTCCACATCATTGCTACGAGGGTCTGTTAATCCAGCCTCCTAACAGATCTCCCTGCTTCCAGTCTCAGTTAGTTCCCGGCTCTCCACACTCCCTCATTCTGCCTCACTCAACCTGGAAGTGATTTTGTAACTCTTCTGCTCCAAAAACCTGTGGCTCCCCATGGCTGTGGGAAAAAAATCCTAAGTTCTTAGCATGACATTTAGATTGGGCACTGTCACTTCTTCATAGGTGTCTCTCTTACCATCTGTCCTCCTGGGTACACTTCTTCGTGGAGTACTCTAAAGTGATAAATACTGGCCGGGCACAGTGGCTCATGCCTGTAATCTGAGAACTCTGGGAGGCTGAGGCTGGCAGATCAATTGAAGCCAGGTGTTTGAGACTAGCCTAGGCAACATAGCAAAACCTTATCTCTACAAAAAGTTGGTCTCAGGAGTCACAAAGAA